TGTTGAAAACTACTGCATGCTCATTTTTTCCTTGAAGGTGACGTCTGCTCTGCAACATGCTGAGTCTTTAGCTCACAAAGATAGTGTGGCCGAAGCTGATGGAAGGAACTACATCGATAACTTGAGAAAGGTAAGCTGGTTCTTTTCTCAGTTTTCCTCGATTTGACCATTCTTTCACGTCTAGGTCATCAGTCAAGGTAAAAGTGATCCTTCTACGGCTAACAATGCTCTTCTTATAAATGCGATGGAAACTGCGAACAAATTATCTCATCAGTTGGACGAGCTGAATGGTCTCGTATCCAAGGTATCTCAGCGCTTCTCCGTAAGAGAAAGTTTGATTTGTACAAGTTTTAACTAGGCTCGCCAAGAATCAACCATCTTGAACCAGTATAAGGACCTGATTGAGCGTAGTCGTCAGCAGTTTGCTTTGGAAATGCGAAGCATTCTTCCTAACGTTGATGTGAATGCGAAGGTAATTTCGTTCGCGGCTTTTATTCAGCAGCAGTAGTATGAAACTCTAGGATAAGAATTTGACCGAAGATGAACTAAACGCACTCATCGCTCACGCTCATTTAAAAGTTGACCATTTGCGAAGGCAGCTATCGGATCAACAAGTGAGTTTTCAACGCAAAACCATTCAAAATCGAAGAATTGTTTATATAGAAAGTTTTGAGGCACGAGAGGAGCAGCATATCGCTCGCGCTATTGCAGAACAGCGTGAAGCTGATGAGCGTATAGCTGCGGAACGACTTAGAATTGAATTGAAACGAATACAGCAGCAACAGGATGTTGCAATCGAGAAAGCGGTTAGTTTGAGGGTCCTTTATTGCTATAACGTATAATGAATTGTTTGTGGCAACCTTAGAAGTATGCACCTTCACACTTGGGTGAACTACAGGGTGTGCCAAAATTACTTGCGCGTGTTTGCTTGAATGCCAAAAGGATACAAAGTGGGTTTGATGGCGGTTCAAGTATGCACCTGTTTTCACCACTATTAGCATCGTAATGATATAGTCATATCAGAATTTGGCTACTTAACCTTCCGAAAAAATTTCAAATCCTCTCGACAGTCGAAGTGGCTTTGTACGCAGGTTCAACGTTGAAAATTCACATGATTTTTTTTGGAACTTTTCATTTTGTTTTGATACTGATCATCAAAGTAAAGGAAGCCTTTGCCTTTAACACTATCAAAGAGGGAAATCTGAAGGTTGATTTGAAGATGGGTCTTCGATTTTTTCAAAAACATGCT